TCTTCGGGACGCAGAAGCGATCTGGCGACAGGTAAGTTGCCAGGATCGCTTCTGTTGTAAAGCCGACAGTCGGCTCTACAAGTTTAAACAGACTCCCGGCGGCAAAAGTCGCCGGGAGTCTGTTTAAACAGCCCCGATGCTGGCGACGTACACTGTACGTCGTCAGTCACGAAGGGGTTAAGTACAAAAACAGCCAGACAACATGCGTTGTCCAAAGGAGATCAGCAAAAGCAGTCACTCGGTATTTGTCCTTTTAATGTGTGGCTGCATATCAAAACAAACTGTCTGTCGTGGTGGTGGTCCTTAATACTGATTCTTAGTTTTACTGCTCCACCACTGTAGACTTCTTTCCGAGCAGTCCCTGTAAGGTGTTTGTATTCTAATCTACAGGTCGTGGCACGGCTACATTTGATGGGACAGCTATAGCCAGTGCTGTCGTAAAGGAACTCTCGGAAAGGATCAGATGCCGCACATTGTTCTCCACACACTACCACTCCCTGGTGGAGGATTACTCCTACACACCGGCAGTACGGCTTGGCCATATGGTGAGTGAGATCTGCAGCCTAAACAGTGAAGTGCATCTCTAACCTTTTCATTACACTTGAATGATTTATTTTCTTTTTTAGGCCTGTATGGTTGAAAATGAATGTGAGGATCCAAGCCAGGAGACCATTACATTCCTATACAAGTTTATCAAAGGGGCGTGTCCAAAAAGCTATGGATTCAATGCAGCAAGACTGGCTAACATACCTGATGATATCATTCAGACTGGACACAGAAAAGCAAGGGAGTTTGAAAGTGTCATGGTGTCTGTGAAGATATTCAGGTAGGTCTCATCCAACAGATGTTATGTAATACAAATCTATTCACTCCTAATATGCAGGTCTCCGAATCAGCCTCATTGTGTCTCTGGAAGTAGCAACCTTGTAAGCGATTGGTTCCTAAATAAGATAAGTCTGGTCCACATGGGTGCTATAAACAGGCCGGTGATCCAAGTTTTTACCCCCCATAGCGCAAATATGTCAAGGCCACTCACACTTGCATTCATGGCAAATGTTGAACAGCATGTAGCATTTGGAAGGAGGTGCAAAAGAATGTTCCAATTGTGATAAATAGAGAAAGCATGGTGGAGGTGGTGGCTGCTACACCTACTGGATTCCAGACTCCATGTAGAAAGAGGTTGGCTTTTGACACCATGTCATGCAGCAAACATCCCTTCTATGTTACCACACAATGCTTCCATGAGCTTGCAGCATCGTAGGGCACAGTCCTTTACATATGAAATATCACAGGGGAGCAAGGATGGGCAAAAGTAGTGATTACCATTTTATTCATCATGAAGTTCCATAAATCACATTAGAACTCAGCAGACCACCAAAGCTTAGCTCTGGGGGGGGCTGTTAACCTGCCATGTGCCCCCCACATCTTCACAGCTGTAGTAATAAAAAAAAAGCAATGGCAGAGTGTAGAACATTTCATGTTTGCTCTGTATGCACCATAACAAGTACTGCTGATGTTCTTTGAGGAAAGTTGCCATCCCTCGCAGGCCCAGCACAAGGGCAGTCAGAGCTCTGCTCCCTATGTACGAGGGTAAGGGTATAGGTAATGTATCTTTTTCAAAAGAGATCAGGAAGGATTTTATTTAACAGGAAAGGTATGAAAAACCTGATCCTCATAAAACTGGAACATTAAAATACTTTGTTAATGCAGTTTTGTCATCCTCTACAGGAAGTTGAACACATTGCTGGATGAACGGACTTGTGATGTCCAAGCCATCAATGAACTACTCCAAATGCTCTAACTTTTGTGTTATAAAAAAAAATACGACTTTGTTTTTTGGTGTTTATTCACAAGGCTGGTTGTCACACATTATGATCTAATAAACTTTATTTTTTAAAAATGACCATATTTCCATTTTTTTTTTTTCTTTCCTAGGAAATTAAACCCCTTTTATTTCATACCTACCCTCTACATAATGGTTATTGAATACTCCACAATATATTAAGTCTAGATGTTATGGTACATGCATACACTTTCAGGCTGTTTGATTACCCACTGTCACCAATACATATAAATGGGGGAGAAACAAAAATAAAATAAAAAAAAAAAAGCTATGAAACTCTATATATGCTCGTCTCAGCTTCATAAAGAGCAGGAAATGTGACCATTCCCAGCAGTATACAAGTTCCAGGCTGTTCAAACAAAAAATGAACAGTAACAAACAGGCGCAATCTGAGGAGACTACAGTAAACTTTAAACCAGAGTCAACACCCGCCCCATTGCCTAGGGGAGTGATGGAAGCATACACACTCGCAGCTTCAACGTCTCCTCGCGCAACGGTCCTCGTCCGGGGCATTATGTAAATGAAGACGGTCACGGAGAGGAAAGGAGACAACATTCTAACTTTTCCAAAAGGATACCAGAAAAATTGCTGGATTAAGATTAGTGTTTTTTTTTCCTCTTTCATAGAAAGAACATAGATACTGGGACATGAGTACAGTTTTACAGCAATGCTATGGTGGGCTAACAAAACAGGACACATTCAAGTACAATAAACTGTGCTTGAAATTAAAAAATAAAAAAACAAACTACATGAGATTAAAGCATTAAAATATCTCATTCAGAATACGTGTTAAAAAAAAAAAATGAAAAGAAATGCAGAAGTGCTAGCTCACATTTTACCATGTTACAAAAAGCAATTGGTACCCATGTCCGTGTGTGTTCAGCAGCAACAACAACAACAAATGCTGCCTGTCTACAGGATAGAACTACTGCAAATGTGGCAGCTGCCTCTACTGCTGCCTGCAGGAACACCAGCAGAGGGCAGCGTCTATACAAAACAGTAGCTTATTATTTCTTCACTTCTGTCCTTCCAAAAGTCTTTGAATAATGCTAAAATTAAAAAGAAAAACAAAATGCCCAGTTCTTCCTCTACATCCTGAGTCAACATATTGCCTCTTCTACTTCCTTTTTGGCAAGTGGAGTATGCTTGTCTCAACGTCAGTCAGTCTTCCAAAATTGGGCAATTTTTTGTTTTAATTTTTTTTTCCAAACGAAAAGTTTTTAAACAGTTAATGGCAGGACTTCCCCTTGTGTAAATAAGTTCAGTTGTGTTGCAATGTATTAGATTCTATAGGTGGAGCAGAGTCATATAATGTATCTGTGTCATGTGTGGGCTCTCCAGCTAATGTACAAGGATTGGACAGGGTTCCAGCACCACAGTCACAGAAGAACCTGGAAGAAGATAAGAGAGTCTTAGAATCAGTCCGGAGACTTTCCATAGTCATCAGAAAAACAAGAGTTTGTGTACTTACCTATCATGCCTAATAAACTCTACATCATGTCCTTGGTGACATTTCTTAATGCAGTTCACGCAGATGGCATTGCGGTCTGTGGTGTTGCAGGTGTGACATCTAATAAAACAAAAGATTAGCTCATGACACAGCCCATTGTTGAGTGAAACGGATCCACAGCAGGACCACGAGTATGAACTACAATACATTGTTCAGCAAAGTGTGCGCCGGACTTTTTTCTGTAACAAACATCAGCTCTGATCACATCAATCCAGTGTTAATCTCAGCTACTGAATTGTCTTTTTGGGATATTCATGATTACACCACAAGATGAGACTGCAGTTACATTTCTGCACAAACTACTCACAAGTCATAACATGGCTGGAATACACAACAGTTCCTTCAGATACATAAGGCCTAGACCACCAGTAACCTATGACATTGTGACAGACCTGATAACACAACATGATTCACACAGAGCTTTCATTCACAACAGGATGTGGCGTTACGCCCTTTCATTCATCTCTATAGAACTTTTGTGTCTACTTCCCACTGCAGCAGAGGCAGGCCGTGTCCAGCGGGACAACACTGCATACGAGGTCTGACTTTTTGGTGGTGGGGGCTTTAAAAGGAGTAGACACAATTGCTATGAAATGTTTCTGGGTTTAAATCCTGACATCCCCTGGTGACAGTGCAGTGAGCTGCATTTTTCTTCAGCAGAAAAACTCCTCTATAAACTCAATAGTGTGAACATGCCCCTAAAATCCTAATCCATATACCCCGTCCCCCCTCCTGGCACCACCCCTCATCCTAGCCAGTCAAATGTCAGAATGATAATGAACCTCAACATGTGCTGCATTAAGGCAGCGCACTCATTTGAATAGGCTGCCAATGCACCAGCAAGGATGCATCAAACCACAACGCACAGTAGTGTATTACTGTGCATTGGGGCATCACAAGGCACTAACACACACACACGTTGTGTTACTGCAAAGCACAGGTGTGAAGCCAGCCTTAATCATGACACAGAAGCCTAACTCCCAGTACAGCCTGTGTCTTAAATCCAAAGGAAGACCCACAGGGATCGATTTCAATACACCACAATGTGCAACGTCAGCACTGCTATTACCTTCGAAACATTCTATGGCATGACTAAGTCTCCATGTACAGGGTCAGCCTACAATATAAATCAATGGGAGACTTCATGAACTTTTACCTGGATATAAAAATGGAGCCAAGTCAGTTAACAGGCCAGTAAGCTTTATGGAGGAGTATGCCGCGGCTACACTCTTAGAAGCTGTATTAGCTCAGATTGGAATGCCCAAAGCGTGGAAAACAACTCACTCATGCAGCTCTTGTTCCCTTACAGGGTGTGGGAATGATTTACCTGTAAAAGTCGTGCATTGGGTAGCTGGTATAACTTGAAATCTTGTATAGACACTGGCCTCTAGTGACGGCTTTTTCTATAGCATCTTGATTGTTCATTATTTTGTTATCTAAAAAAATATTGTGAAAAGCAATTATTCAACTAGAAAAATCCACATTCAGCCATCCAAGACACTTTTTTTGGAGGGAAAAAAAATGTAGTTGATGGCATGATCACCAGAAGTGACAGACGTATCCAGCTGGCAGACATTGAAGAAAATAGGATTTTGGTACTCACCGTAAAATCCTTTTCTCTCCGTTCATTGAAGGACACAGGGAACAGATCGGAGATCATGTACTGTAGGTAATATCGCCACCTGCAGGAGAAGGACGCTAGGCACAAAAAAACTAAAGACCAATTACAGCCTAGGGGCGGCCCCTGCCGGTGGCCAAACCCCCCACCTGCTGACAAGTCTCCAGTTTAGTAACAAGCAGTAAAAGGAGTACACACCCACATAGAGGGGCGGGCCCTGTGTCCTTCAATGAACGGAGAGAAAAGGATTTTACGGTGAGTACCAAAATCCTATTTTCTCTCCCGTTCATTGAAGGACACAGGGAACAGATCGGAGATCATGTACTGTAGGGACGTCACAGAGCAGTACCAAAAAAGAGGGGTGGGCCAACAGAAACAACAAACCCAACTAAACAAAAAAATCCCCTCAAACGGCCGCCTGCAACACTTTGCGCCCCAAACCAGCATCCGCAGATGCCAAAACATCCACCTTATAAAACTTGGCAAAGGTGTGAACAGAAGACCAAGTCGCGGCCTTACAAACCTGAGAAACGGAGGCACCATGGCGAAAAGCCCAAGATGCCCCAACAGCCCTTGTAGAATGGGCCGTAACAGAAAAAGGAGGCTCACGCCCCTTAATAGCATACGCCTGAGAGATCGTGTCGCGAATCCATCGAGAGATGGT